TTCTTCTTCTTCACTTTCCTCTTTTGATTTTTTACTTGCATCAATCGTTCTTGTTGTCAAACCAACCGACAAAAGAACAATTAAACAAGTAACAAGTAACCAATTAAGATGCATTGTGATTACAAAGTTCTAATCGTTGTAAAAACAATAAGTCTAAAAAAAAGAAACTACTGGTGATTTCAAAATATAATGTGCTCCATTGTTTTTTTTTTTGAATAACTTTTCATAGGAATACTATAGAAACCTACGATTTTCACCATTCAAGAGAGAAGACTCGAGATCATCAAAATTTGATTGGTTAGTAATTGGCCAATCAGTTGAGTTCTTAATAGAGATTTTCGATCTGCACAAGGCCAACATTCTTAGCTTGTTTCATTCGAGACTTATAAGACTTTTCCTGAGATCTTTGATCATCTGAAAACATAGCGAGGCGGAAGTCACTTATCATGCTGAGTCAAATGATGATGATGATGATATTTGTTTTTAGGTTTAAACTGATCTAACACTATTGTCTCCATATTTCTGAAGTTCCGCAATCAGCCTCCATTTAACGAAGATGTCGACATTTGAGAACTAATGAGATAACAGTGTTAGATCAGTTTAAACCTAAAAACAGATATCATCATTTCACTCAGCATGATGAATTACTCCCGTCTAGCTGTGTTTACAGATGATCAAGGGTCTTAGAGAAAGTCCTATAACTGTCGAACGGAATAAGTTAAGCATGTCGACCGGGCGTAGATCGAAAATCTTCGTCAAGAACTTACGTGATTGACCAATTTGCCGACTAATCAAATTTCGATGATGTCAAGTTTTTTCTCTTGATTGGTGGAAACTGCAGGTCTCTGTAATATTCCTATGAAAAGTTATTTCAGAAATAGTGAAACACATGATATTTTTCAATAGATAGTAATCTTTTATTTATATAAAGGGTGACCCAGAAGTTCTGACTCAATTTGTATAATAAATTTTTCTGCGTGAAAACATGCACTTAAAAATTTGTTTCTATGATAGAAAGATGCAGTAAAACACGCTCTACAAAATGGCCTATGATTGACTTCCTCTAACTCATATAGTAAGAACGTTATAAGCTTAGAAATATGTTTCATAAAAAAGAAAAATTAACCGTGGAATTTCTTCGTATGGTGGTACTTTCAATAAAAGTCCCGTAACTTCATCGGAACAGAAGAGATTTTGATCGGATTTGTTCTACTATGATCAGAAATCATTGCTCTTCTCTACCTAACTGTAAAATCAAGCGTCTATCACGTTTTCTATTTCTTGGACATATTGTCGGAAACGGGGGTTTTTGATTTTTGAAATTTCATTCTCGAACACACCGTCTGCTCTAAAAACATCTGTCTATAGACCACGAGAAAGAGTACATTCGAAACTAACAAACATAAATTCAATTCTTGCTTTTGCTAAGCTTATTCGCGAAAATAATAGGAGAAAAAAAGTTCCAGTCGAAAAAGACACCAAAAAAAATACACAAAGTTTTCATTTTTTCCACATGCTGAATTCTTGATTGAAGTTCTGAGATTAAAGCTTAAGTATGATTTTGTACAGAATTTCATGGCGCTTCTATTGAAAAAAGAATTTGTTCTAGGAGACTTATGAAACAGAAGTTATTGAGATCAAATTCACTGTTAATTTTTCTTTTTGTGAAGCATATTTCTAAGCTTATAACATTCTTACTATATGAGTTAGCGGAAGTCAATCATAGACTATTTTGTAGAGCGTTTTTTACTGCATCTTTCTATCATAGAGACAAATTTTCAAGTGCATGTTTTGACGCAGAAAAAGTTATTATACAAATCGAGTCAAGAATTCTTAGCCACTCTTTACGAAGGAATTCCACGGTTAATTTTTCATTTTTGTGAAGCATATTTCTAAGCTTGTAACGTTCTTACTATATGAGTTAGAGGAAGTCAATCATAGACCATTTTGTAGAGCGTGTTCTACTGCATCTTTCTATCATAGAAACAAATTTTCAAGTGCATGTTTTCACGCGGAAAAATTTATTATACAAATTGAGTCAGGACTTCTGGGCCATCCTCTATATATATGTATAGTATAGTGGCCAAAATTGTAAGAACAACATATGTTTGATTTTTTTCTACAACATTAAGCATCTAATATAGAAATCTCTATTGAATACATTCTACACAGTGGTCCAAAAATAATTCGGTGGTCTTTGATTACGAATAACTTTTGATAGGAACAAGATAAAGAACTGCAGTTTTCACCGTTCGAAAGAAGAGATGAAGATCCATCGAATCATATATTATAGGTTTTTCTAAGATGTATTCTTAATCGATTTTCTCAAAAAACATGGTTTCTTATAAAATAAGAAAAATGCCAAAAAGTGATTTTTTTTCACAGAAATTAATAGAAAAATCGGCTCAGAATTTCGAATTAGTATACCTATAACTTCTGAAGGAGTAACTCTCAAAATCTGACCATTATACAGTTTTGTAGGTTTTCGACAAACTATTCGAATACATAGCTGATTATAAAAAATTCAATTTAGTCACCTCATGGAGTATGGTAGTTTAAATCCTTGAAAAAACTAGTTCAAACTATCTTTTATTATATAATTCTATGCGTCTTCGTCTCTTTTTTCGAATGGTGAAAACCGCAGCTCTCTATCTTGTTTCTATCAAAAGTTATTCCCAAACAAAGATTGCCGGGTTATTTTTGGACCACCCTGCATACTGAAATGTCATTAATGGATCATTAAAACAACATTTCTTAAAACCGAAACGGCAATCTTTAGATCCTAGAATGATTTGCTTGAATTAGTATTTGATGAGGTCGCCATGACTTAGTGTTTATATGATTCGAATCTTGTTACTACCAGATGTAAAATAATATAGAGCAACAAGTCATTTATAGTTGTTTATCTTGATCACTCGTCCAATAGAATACTAACTACGTTGCAACATATACTTACTTTTATGGTTATCTAGTATTTATGAGAGGAGTTCGAGCAATTACGCACAAGAATTCTACGTCATGTTGGCCTTCTAAGAATATGGATTCGTGCATTACTGTCATCTGTAACAACATCTATATCATTGCCTAATGAAACCATTATTCGATTTTCAAGTTAGATACTTAGTATATATTGCTCTTATAATTCAGAAGTATCTTATTAATACATTGAAAAATTCAAAATACGATAGAAATCGGATTTATATTTATATACTTGAGAGTTCCTACAAAGACAGTGGTACCAATATAAGCACAAAAATAAGTATATGAATACAAAAAAAAAGAAGAAGAATAAAGGTCAAAGAGAAAACCGCAATGATACATAAATATATTGTAGAAAGTTAAAATACTAACCTGAATAGGAAAGAACAATTGACCTTCTTTTTTCTCAATTTCTGTTATGTGTAGAAAACTGCTTATGAGGATAATCTACAAAAAGAAAAATATTAATATGTATGTATATGAAGTTTGATTGGTCCGATGAAAACCACAATTATTTCTATTCAAAGTATTAATATCTACGGTTTTTTTTTTGGCATCTATCTCAGTTGACTCGAAAAAATCAACAACAAACTATTAACTTCAATCAATACTAACAAAATTTACAACAAAAAAGAATAATAACTTGTCGTTACTTCTCTAGTTCGATAAATATATAGAAATAAACAAGAAAAATAGTAGGAAATAGAGTACTTCCAATAAACATATCGGATAAGAAGACAACAACTATAATAATTATGATAATACTGTGGTTTTTCTTAGATATATAGAAAGAAAGAAAGAAGAGAAGAAGAAGAAGAAGAAGAAGGAAAAAAAAACCCAAACGAGAAACAGTCCTATGTACGACTGTTGGTGTTAGAGGCATCTAAATGATCTTGTGTGATATTTTCTCGGTGATAATCTTTGCTCTTTTCTTTGCTTACTTTGTATTATCGTCCGAAAGAAGAAGAAGCAGAAGGCAAAGGGAAAAAAATGTAGCGCTGCTATTTTGATTAGTCCCAATTTATTACATAAGGTTTATGCTGAATATATTTTTTTTCTCTCGATTATTTATAAATGATTTCTTTGAAAAATAAAATATTATGTCATTAGAAAAGAAAGTTCTCATCATAGAAATCTACATCAATTAATTGTAAAACAATCAAGACATTATTTTTTAGTAATTTTGAAATATAAACAATAATTCTTTTATGACAGGTACTTCATCACATTAATGACTATGGATATTTTTCTTTTTTCTCAATTTGTTTTATCATTTCAATGGTGACAATTCGCAATATATCGAAATTCAGAATCTTTTTCATATAATTCCTTACTAGAATACCCCTGGTATTGTTAATTGGTCTGTTGTTGTATAACTTTGGCAGTAAGCTGTTCGACAGCCGCAAACACACACACGTCCATAAGGGAAAAATGTATGAAAGAAACAACAATCTTTTTTTTTTCTTTCTTGCAACCTCAATCACCACTACTATTCCATATATTTATATATATATATAAAGCAAAAGAAAGATATGCAATATCGATTGGGCAAAATATTCACAACAGCAATAAAACATCCATCTGTCGAATATTGTACGATTGCAGCTTGATTATGATACTATTCATAGACGATGATAGTAATGCTAACCGTACTGAAGATATTTGTGCTAAATATAGATAAACTATATATCATTTTTAATCGAGAAATTATTATGATGATAAAATATATAAATCATTTTTTACTTATTATCAGATTATATTTATTAGAATTTTAAGTAGAAAATTTATTTATTTTTATTTAGTTCATATCTAATATTAAATGTCTTTATTTTTTCTGAAGTTATTTACTTTACAAGGTTATCAGACGCACACAAGCACATAGAGATAAAAAAAAAACACAAGAGAAAATTCAGAACAAAGAAAATTTAGTCAATCATAGCAAGAAATGCACAGTTATGTATGTAAAATAACAACAACAAAGAATTTTAGTTGTTTGTTTGTTTTTTTTTTTTAATTTATTATCACTGTTGAATATTAGCATTGATTTGTTTGGCATCATCAAATTGCTGAAAAAATCGTTTAGCTTGATCATTTGTTTTAAATCTTACACATAATGTTTCATGTTTAGATTGACCATCAGAAAAATCCATAGCTGACCATATATAAGCATTTTCTTTACCATGATGTTGTTTTAATTCCATTTCTGATGTTATTCTATGATTGGCACATACTTTGAAGACTTGTTCACGACGCATTAATATTCGACATAGATTTGTTGTTTTATGTTGTAGAATTTTCATTTCACCAATTCCACGTTCTTTCATTTCATTTGTTGATGAATCAAAACGATAGAGTTTTGCACGTTCACGAAATAAAATATTTTCATCTTCTTCACCTGTTCGAACTTCAACAGGTGATAAATGTACAATAGGTTTAAATGAAATATGTGGTTCATAAGAAGAATCTTCATTTTCATCATTATTCTTTTCGGTTTTAGTTATATTCGTAGAGTTTGTGTCGAATATAAGTGAACCTTGTCCAGGAAAAACTATTCAAATAAATTATAATTTGACAAAAATAAAATGAAAATAATAACTACTATATATATTTAGGGTTATCCAAAAGTAGTGACGGAGGTTCTTTTTTTTCTTATAGAAAACTAGGAAGAATTTTCTTTTTTTTATGAATAGATAGAGTGTCTTTCGCTCTATCTTTCTATACTATTTGATCAGTATTAAACTAGTATCATAATAATAAAATTTCGATAAGAACTATTTTTGTTGAAAACCAGCTGGTAGCATTTAGATCATCATGGATGTGGTATTTTTGTATTCCACTTTATTATCAGATAATATGTTCTATTAAAAAAACAAAATATACCAAAAGATGCAGCGTGAAAAGCTCTACAATTTATAAAGTACTGCTTATTTTATAGTTGTACTTTTTGTTTTAAAAATGAACAAAACTCTGAGCTACCAAATTTCGAGGTGGCGAAAACGAGATTGTTTTTTTGGTAAAAGATGAATTTCGTTTTTCCTATTTCATTTTTTTATTACTTGATATGTTTTATTTTAAAAAACAAAACACACCGCAAGATGCAGCGTGAAGAGCTCTACAATTTACAAAGAACAATGATAAGACAAAAAAACCAAATTCGGTTTTTTTACCAAAAAAGTCTCGTTTTCATCACGTCGAAACTTGGTAACTCAGAGTTTTGTTCATTTTTAAAACAAAAAGTACAACTATAAAATAAGCAGTACTTTATAAATTGTAGAGCTTTTCACGCTGCATCTTCTGGTATATTTTGTTTTTTTAATAGAACATATTATCTGATAATAAAGTGGAATACAAAAATACCACATCCATGATGATCTAAATGCTACCAGCTGGTTTTCAACAAAAATAGTTCTTATCGAAATTTTATTATTATGATACTAGTTTAATAGGGATCAAATAGTATAGAAAGATAGAGCGAAAGACACTCTATCTATTCATAAAAAAAGAAAATTTTTTCTAGCTTTCTATTAGAAAAAAAGAACCTCCGTCACTACTTTTGGATAACCCTAAGTATATATAGAAGTTACCTCTTGTTTCATTATCATCATTTATCAATTTATGATCTAATGCTTGTTTAACTATGTCAGAAAAACTAAGCTTTTGTATATTACCAAATAAAGGTATATTTTCTGTTGATTCTAATTTACATGTCGAAGTACTATTTATTATCGATGAGAATGGAATTGAAGGTTGTAAGTCATTTGATGATGTTTTTGTATTATCAACAGTAGAAAAAGAAAAACTACTATTCAATGGTTCAGTGGATATTGAACTACCAAATGTTGAATCACTAGTATTATTATTATTATTTGTTGTTGTTAAATTTTCGTTGATTGTTTGAATAGAATTAGAACCAGTATTAGTATTAGAAAAATTGGACGGTTGATTATCGTTTTGTAACGTAGTAGTTTTATTATCGTTTGTTTCTATGATTTGTTGCTCAGTTATTAGTTTATCTAAGTAAAATAGAAATTTTATTGTTATATGATTTTCGAAATCTATTAGTTAAGAAAAGCAAAACAAAGGTCTTACAAAGCTCTTGTTTTACTTGATCCAAAATGTCTCGTGCCACTTGTGAAGCATAATCATTGAGTAAATATGGATCAGTATTATTACTAGAGAAATTTCGTGTCTTTTTTTGATATGTCTGAGCTGTTGCTATTTCATCTCCTCCAAGAGAAGTTTGTTCACGACTAGTATATAATGGTAATGATGATGGTGGGGGAGGCAAACGATTGCTTGGCAGAGAACGTTTGGCTTTTATTATCATTCGATAATCTTTTGGGGGAGAAGGCATATTAAAGGAAGAGAAAGAATCTGTTCCAGTAGAAAACCAATTGGGTACCATAGACATTAATGGAGGAAGAGAAGATTCTAAATATTCATTAGGAATAAAAAAAAAAAAGAAAAAACAATTTATTTGAATTATAATAAAATAAGAACCTACTTGGGAAGAAACCAGAAGGAAAAGTAGAACGATTTTCAAAAATAACAGGAGTAGTATCATAAGAATTCACCCAGTTTCCAACATAGACTAGAAAAATGCTTATTTTTCTTTATTGTTATTTAACAAATAAAAATTCTCTTCTATAATCATCAAAAACAAAAAAGAAAATAACACAAATAATTAAACATACTTTCATTCGATTGAGTCAATGGTGACTCTTCTTTACAACCACGACAACCCTGACAAGGTTGTTTATTTTCATATAAATAAAATGTTAATGGTAATTGAAGTTTTTTCGCTCGTTCGATTTGTTCTAATGTTGGTTTAACTTCACCTATGATAATTATATCTAAAAAACATAGAAAACAAATTTCATAGTAAAATAAGTAATATATCTTTTTTTTTTATAATTATACCATCATCATTTAATGAAATATTTTTAATTAATAGCATATCATCTATTTGATTTTGATTGATTTCTCTTGCTTGATTAAATATTTTTGCAAATTTCGTTGCTTGTTCATGTGTTTTAAATTTTATACAAAATGTTTCATGTTTGGCTTCACCATCAGAAAAATCCATAGCTGACCAAAGATAAACATTCGGTATTTCTCGATGTGGTTTTAATTCCATATGTGATGTTATTTTATGATTTGCACATATTTTAAAGATATGTTCACGACGCATTAATATTCGACATATAGTTGTTATTTTATGTTGTAAAATTTTTATTTCACCAATTCCACGTTCTTTCATTTCATTTGTTGATGAATCAAAACGATAAAGTTTTGCACGTTCACAAAATAAAATACTTTCATCTTCTTCTCCTGTTCGAACTTCAACAGGTGATAAATGTACAATAGGTTTAAATGATATAGATGATTCATCAAAATCATTTATATTGTCAATATTATCATGTGAATAATTTGTGTCATTATTGAAACTTATTGGATCAAAAATAAATGGAACTAAAACTAAGAAGTAAATTCGGATGTTTTTAAAATTTTTATTTTATATTACCATTACGTGATGGTTGCTCATATGTTGTCGGAGCAAATGAAAATGATTCTGTATTTGATGTTAAATCAGATATATTTAAAAAGAATGGTTTATTAAATGATGGAGAATTTTGTAATTCTGGATGAAAAAATGATAAAGGATTGGACGGCGGCGGTTGTGGTGGTGGCATATATATTTGAAATGGAGGTAAAAAATGAGATTGTTCTTGTTCAAGAGTCATTATTCTATTTGCAAGTATTTCTATGTCGTTCTATAAATTAATCTTGAGAAATAATAAAATAAAAATAAAAAGACAAACCCTAATTTCAATTAATTGAAATGAAATATGTCCAGAATATTGTGCTAAATTTTGTATAACATTCGTTTGAAGATTTAAACAATTGATGAGCTGCTCATTGAGATATTCATCAAATGTTGTTGCTGGCGTTAGAGCAGACATCTAGAGTACAAAAACAAAAATAAAAGAAAATTTTTAAAATAATAAAACAAAACTAATTTATTAATGATAAATTAAATAATAAGAAAAAGAAGGACAGAACAGCCATTTTCTTCTTTTAAGCACGAGTCTACTCTACCTTCCTATACTCATGATATTTCAATTGAAAGTCTATAGATGGCATACTCGTCCGAATGGATTTAATATAAAAAAAAAACACTGATATAAAATTAAAATTTGATTGAAGAATTAAATTAAAAATCTAAATGGTTCTATCAAAATTTATGATTATTTTACTACATAAGATGTGTCTGTACACCAAAACAACAATTGTTTGTCCTACCTGGAGTTTTCAATTACCTCTTCGGGAAAGAAACTTTCGATAAAACACTGTCTATGACTTGGTCAAATAATCTATTTGGTTGATTAATAAAACTAAACTATGCAAAATGTTTTCGTCTTCGACCTTGTTTCGAATACGGTTGGTCCAAACATTCTAGTTGTGGACTAAAGATCAGCGGAGTGAAACTTTTTAGCCCCGAAACCGAAAAGTCCTTTTACTTCTCTCTCACTTCGAAAAGTCTCGATTTTTTTCTCATTAATAACTGATATCTAATATGCGTGGCACTATGTTGATGGAAAAATGTAGACTAAATCTTGATTGCTAGCCAGTCTAAAGAGAATAAATTGAGAAAAAAGAAATAACAAGGTATCCTCTTCTATTCTTTCTCTTCGTTTGTGTATAAAATGAAAGGATGATTTTAAAGTTGTTAACAGGAAAAGAACTCAAGGATGCTTATAAAGAAACAAGATGATTCTATTAAATATGAGAGTGTCGATGCGTCTTCTATACACCCACTCATCCTGTTTTTCTTTGTTCGTCTTTACTCTTTAATTAATTGTGAAAATAAGTAAGTTTGTGTTATAGAAAAATGAAAGTCATTTTTCAGGGAGTATCCTAAATTTTTGATCCCCCCAGTAGGGTTAGAGTGTACCCGTTGATTTCTATTGTGAACTAGTGTCATTGATTAATATTAGATTTATTTGCTAAAATCGATCATTGATATGTATTTGTTGTGTATTAGATATTTGAATGAAGACCATTCAATGTCTCAATGAAAAATCATGTCATCATCATCACATTTGAATCTAATGAATCATTGTTTTGTATACTGTCAAATGGATAAATGATCATCATAATATCGTTTGAATTGATCAATCATTCTTAAGTATGAATTCGAATAGACATTTTGCTTACGACAGTAATTGGTGAATATCTTCTTCTCTTCTTTATCATATTGAATCTTTAAAATAGTATCTATGAATTATTGAGAATATACATATAATGAATCAAGTTCATCGAGAATAATAGGTCTATTCAAGGTGAACGTAAGATTGATTTCAAATGGATAAATTTCTTGTCTCGACAAAGCAAAAATTTAACAATTTTTAGTAAATATACTATTAAGTTATTTATATTATTTTAAATCATTGTTCAAATTTTGTTTGATACAATATCAATGGAATAAATTTGAATTATTTATTCAAAATAATTGAGAAAAAAAATGAGTTGTTAATCAAAAGAATCATAAATATTTGAACGGATCTGAGATACTTGCTTGCAAAGTTTGTAGGTCTTCTTTTCGTTCGCATCCATACTTTAATCGTCCATGATATGCATATTTTCTAGTTTATTCACATTTCAAAAGATTGTTTGTGTTATTTTTCCAAACAATTATATATTGGTAAATGTGCGTTTTTCAGAGATGTCTCCAATCTCTCCATGATTTTCCTTCGTCGAACTGCATTCTGTGTATACAAGATCCAAGAAATATTTTTATGAAAAATTTCAATGTTTTTGCCATGTTTGACGCTTTGAGATCTTTTGTAAATAGAATAGAATTCGATGGAGGAACGGTCGAAGATGTCTCATTTTGCTCTCTATCAAGTAAAATCTTCTCCTGAAAGCTTCGAATGGAAGCCAGAAAACTAGTTTAGAAAGTCTCGGTTTTTCGCAAACTCTCATCCAAGCAGTTTTGTCGAAGCCTTCCTGCCTACTAATCCTAATAGAGAATCCTTGCAGCTACAAAAATGTTTTTTTTTTTTTGAGATTCTTGCTAGTTATTACCATCCAAACGAAAACTTTAAAATACAGTTGCTCTAAACTTGTTTTTTGCCATTATACAATAGTTTAGAGTTAAACAAATGCATTTCTTGTGTGTGCATTAGAATCTAACGATGTATTCGTTTTGTCAGTCATTATGAAACGGTTAGACAAAAAAAAAGCATATACAAAACAACCATATAAAATGAATGACGTCATTGTTTTTCTTTGATTTGCCAAATGAAGCTTTTTTTTTTCTTTTCTGTACAATTATTATTTTTGTTGGATTTTTTCCCCATGTAGAATGAAAGAAAGAGAGAGCAATACATATATATAACGTACATATTCTTCATTGAATTCAGAAATATTTTATCAGGTGAAAAAGTGTCGTACTTCCTACATGTTTTTTTCTTATATACAGCTAAATTTCTATTTTAAAGCATCTGTTGAATATTCACTGTAAGTATACTGATAGAAGTATTTTCACATTCTGAAGAAGTAGAAAATATATCAAGAAATAAGAAATATGCTTTGCATTATTGAAAAGACTATCCACTTTACCCTACAGGTCACAGTAACCCTATAGATCTCTATCTGTCATGTAGAGTATTAATTATCAAGTATCCTACTGTGCAAGCACTCTATGACATATCTATCTGAAAAATCAAATCGATAGTCTACAGTTTATGTATGGTAAAAGCTATTCTAATTATAAGACTGTATTTTTAATTTAACAACAATAGTTTTTTTTAAACAGCTTTATTTTCAAGTGGCTTTCCATACGTGCGTCATAGCTAACGTCATACTCAAATATATCATGATTTAGAATTGTTGATGTGTCATCACATTCGAATTTATTGATGTTCTAAATATTTAAATTTTATAATAATCAGTTAATCGCTCACTGCTGAAAGTTAAGTAATCAAAGAAAATATATAAATATTGTCGAACTCTAGTCCTATTATGGACGATAGTCTTTAGAAAGGTATAACTTTCGGCAATAGTTGAAAGTCTTGTTTTTGAAACGAACGGCAATTTTTAATTGTATTATTTTGATTGAATTTCCTTATTGATTCAAAAAAAGAATCAATCTGTTTCCTTGCATACAAACAAAACTTAAAAATATGTGAAACAAAAATAATCAATAGAAATTTTAAAAAATCACAATTTATTCAAACGTTACCGAATACATATAGATCAACTTGCCAAAATGAAAGAAATAGCAATTCATACAGAGATATTATTGATAGAAGATCATGAGAATTTTCGAAAGAATATGAATTCACATTTATTCATGATATATTTTTCTATTTATGCTATTAGCATGGATATGATAAGCTAGTTACAAGGTCAATTAGTACAGTCTTTCCTTAGTACAAAAAACATGAGAAAATCAAAAGCTGAAGTTCTTGTTTGACAAATTTTCAGATTCAAATGGATCCTGAGTACTTCCTATAAGTTTAATTTCAATTTCCAATACTATTTTTTTTTGTCTTTGTGCAAAGAAACCTATGAATCAATATTGTCCTACTTTTTGAGAAAGTGGAAGTACATTATATTCAACAGACTAATTACTCCTCTAGATGTCACTAGTTGTCTAGTACAATTAAATGTCAAATTGTATTTTAATTATTCGATATTGAAAAATGACGAAACTATAGATCAAAATAAAATAGTATTCAATTTTAATTTAATTTAAAATTATGAATAGAGGCTTGAATGAATAATTAATGGAAACATTAAAAAAAAAAACAAATTCTAGAAACTATTTTCTATTTCAAAAACCCACTAAACAACATTTATATTTCTACGATCATATTTGATGATTTTTTAAAATAAAATAATATTTATTTGATTTATGAATAATCATATCAAAAATTATATTTTAGATTTTAACAGATAATTAATTAATCGTTTTTGTTTTTTGTACTGAAACGATGGTTATAACTACAATTAATATGGAAAGAGATGTACGACGTCGATATAATCGACGAGTACTTTTTTGTCTTCGAATTAAGTAAGTTTTAATAAATCTTATGATTTTTTTTATACATTTAAGAAAATGTTCATTGAAAATTTGAGAAAGAAAATTAAATCACTATATGATTTCTTTTTTTGTTTTATTTTCATAGAGGAGCTGCTTTATTCATTGGCTTCTGGGATTTATTTATTCATTTAGTTGCATTATGTGCTATTATATTTATTATGTTTGGATTAGCATCTGACTCTGTTATTATATGTAGATTAAAAAATAATGAATTATATGATCAAGTACCAAAAATATCTATTGATAATTATCATAAATCATCATCAGAAGATATAATAAATAATAAAAATTTTCTTTCAAAACATTCATTATTAAATCGTATTTTGGAAAAACGTAATATGACTCGTCCATTAATGGAAATGAATCCAAGACATTTTTATTCATATGACGATTTTATGACTTTTCATTGGATACAATCACTTAGTCAACGTATGTTAAAATAATAATGTTTTTTTTTTCTTGTAATCATAAAATTTCTCTAACAAGAGAACTGAGTTTTTATTATAGTGTAGATCGCAATAAGAAGTTTTCCCTCCAGTAACAATTCCAAAGTACTAGGATTTGATAAAATATAGTGATATCAACAACAATTTACTTTACGAGAGGTGCGATTTAACCAAAAACAGATTTTCGAACTGAATCCTTAGTATTTAGATTTACTCTTGAAGAAAAAAAACTAGTTTGTGTTGCGATATATAACGATCACCAAATTGCAAACTATATGTGTATATTTGATTCAACTTCCAAATCTAATTTAGATTTTTTATACTCCTATCCTCCAAGGATAACATGTTTGTACAACAGGCCTCGAAATCTGGCCACTTTTTTATAGTCCAGCCTGGACCCGAAAGA